TTCAGCAGCTTGGGCTTTTGGCCATGCCAGAGCAAGGGAGCTCTTTCTGCTGCTTTTGTCCTACTCTAGCACCTGGCTTCTCTGTGCTTCCAGGTGTGCATTTTTCATACATCACTCCCTGCATGTCCTCCTATGCACAGGGAGTGTGTAGTTTTAAAATGCTGTGATGGTGCTGCGCGCCACTCTGGCGTTTCAGCTCTGGTACCTGCAGGTGAGTTCCACATATCACCAGCCCTTCCCAGGCCAGTTTCCTTCACGGGCTGATGCTGTTTTGGGTGGGGATCACCCCTTCCTCAGGGAATATGGCTCACAAGCCATGTCACACAGCAACACTCCCTTTCTAGGGGAATCCTGGGGAAACTCCTAGGTACTGATCTCTGGAAGGCATGATGATCTGGGTACTCTGCCTACCCCCTGTTAGTGTTTTGTCACTAATGAGCTAAAAGGTGAGGGTTCTACATAGAACTTCTGTCAAAGGACAATTATGAACCAGTTCCCAGTCAGTGACATTTGTGGAACAGTTCAAGTGTTACATCTGTTTGCACCCTAAGATATGACTATAGTTTTGATATATTACAAAATTAGTCAGTGTCTGTGTGGGGTAATTGTAACTTGCTTTTAACCCAATAATCTATAAAAGGTAAATATAAATCTTGCGAAGACTTGAGGTGTTGTTTATATGCTCTTCCCAGTGATGTTTGCATAGTGATTGTACCATGTATGAACAGGATGTGGTTCAAGGACTGAATGCTTTAAACATTCTTCTGCCTAAATTCTACAAAGAATGCTCAGACTCTGTCTGTATTGTGTTCTTATTGGTGGAGGAAATTTCTGATAGTGTGATGTGATGATTATTTACAGGTATTAGTGCAGAATTGCTTGTAGATTTGCTTTTCAGCAGATTTTCATGTTTGATTCTGTCAGAAGGAAGATTTAACCACCTTGGCATAATTTACAGATAACAGCCATATTTACTTAGTCATTGATGTTGCCATCCCAATCCTATTTTATGAGTTGTTTACAAAATCAGTAACACATCATTTTGGTGAAGTAAAGGTAAAGAGAAATGTCAGAAATGAGAAAGGAATAGTCTTTTGTCAAAGGCTTCTTCCCAGGTCTTTATTAAGGAATGATGCAGGTCTCTCTTCTCCTATAGTGGACTTTCTATAGATACTTTGTTTCTAAAAATGTAATTTTCATTTGCCTTGGGGACTGTGCCATTGGCTGCCCAAGAGGTACAGTTGTGATGTGGGTATTCAGCTGGCAGAAACAGCTAAAACCCATTTTGCTCTGGTTCATGGCTTAACATCAAGGGTAGGAGGGACATAGTTACAGTGCTTATTTATCTTGCCTGCTTGAATGTTTGTATTGGTAGTTTTTTGTAATGGATGGGATGTAAATAGCTTTAAACATGCCAGTCCATTTAGGGGTTGAATATCTGACAGTTTCTTAGTATTTTTTTTAGCTGCTCCATAGCTAAGAACGTTGTTTTGCTCTTATTTTTTTTACCATGGGGTACTGAAGGAATTGGCCGGTGTCATAACAGAACCACTAGCATGGCTGTTTGAGTGCTTGTGGCGCTTGGGTCAGGTCCCGGAGGACTAGAAAAGGATCAGTGGGGTCCCTATTTTCAAGAAAGGGAGGAAGGAGGATCTGAGTAATTATAGGCCAGTCAGTCTCACCTCCATCTTTGGAAAGGTCTTTGAAAAGATTATGAAGGATCATATTTGTGGGAGCCCAGCAGAAAAAATAATGCAGCAGGGAAACCAGCGTGGATTTGTAGCAGGTAGATCACACCTGACCAATCTGGTTTTGTTTTATGACAGGGTCATAAAATGCTTAGACGCAGGAGTAGAGGTGGATGTCTTTTTCTTGGATTTTAGCAAGGCCTTCGATACAGTATCTCATCCCATTCTCATAAATAAATAAAGAGGCTGAGACATAGGTGTTTACACGGTCTGGTGGGTGGCAAATTGGCTTAGAGGTCACACCCAGAGAGTGGTAGTAGACGGGTCGGTATCGAACTGGAAGAATGTGGGTAGTGGGGTCCCGCAGGGTTTCTTCTTTGGACCTGTACTCTTCAATATCTTCATCAGTGACTTAGGATGTGGGTGTGAAGTGTACTCTGTCCAAGTTTGCTGATGTTACTAAATTGTGGGGTGAAGTGCACACTCGGGAGCATAGGGAACGATTGCAGGCAGACCTGGACAGGTTTGAAAAGTGGGCAGTACACGATAGGATGCAGTAAAAAAAAGACAAGTGCAGAGTGCTGCACCTAGGGCGCAAAAATCTCTGACACACCTCTCAGCAGCACAGAAGCGGAAAGGGATCTCGGAATCACAGTGGACTCCAAGATGAACATGAGTCGTCAGTCTGACTAAATCATCAGCATAGCTAACCACACTTTAT